AGACTACCCACATTTTTATTTAAAGTAACTAATTTTTTATTAGCTTTTTGATCTATCACGACATAAAAATTATATTCTTTATCGTTTATTTTATGAATTAGAAAAGTAGAAGATTTTTAACAAAAATGTGGATATTTTTTATAAAAGAAAAAATTATCTGTTGAAAAAGTACAATATGCTATTGAGTTAAAAAAAAATTAAACGAAAGAAATTAAAACTAAATAGGTTAAATAACTTTATTTTAACACCTTTTAAAAATCGATAATGCAAATTATTTGCTTATCAAGAGTTGTGCCCACATAAACTTACCCTAACCATTTTAATCCCAAACTGCTGGTAAGAAGCGAGCAGCGATCAAAAATGATATAAAATGATACAACGAAGTTGATGGATTCAGTTGATTGCCAAACTCCAGAAGATGAGCTTTAAATTCTAAATTTTTGGTTGAGCTCTACGAAAATATTTGAACAATAAAATGACTTCATTCCGCTTCACATTTGTGTGGCTAACAGTTTTGCTTTCATTCCTCATTAGTCGTGGTTATGGCGATGACAGTCCTGGATTTTTCTTAAAAACCATTTCAAAGAATATACCACGCTTAGGACGACGATCAGATAAAGAATTTGAGAGTTCCTTTTTTAAGAATATGAAAAGTATTCCACGTATAGGTCGTGCCGCAACAACAACAAGCAAAGTAAGTCAATGACACCAGATAACAACGGACTAAAAGGAAGTCCAAAATAATTTATTTTTATTTCTAGAGTGACTTCAACGATCTCATTGCCTGGTTCAGTAATGATTTGCCAATTCTTAATAAACGTATGCTGTTAAATCCAGCAGCTGTGGCGGCTGCAGACCGGGAGTACAGTGTGGTGCAACCGGTCAATTCGAACACTTTGATTGAACTAATTGACAAGGATGCAATACCTAGCGATAACGTGAAATTTGTACACTGGAAGGATTTCGATCGTGCCTTACAATTTGATATGGATCTGTATGAGAAGGTTTTCTCATTGGGTCGTCGGCCAGATCAGCGTCTGAAGCAAGATTTAAGTATTGGCAGTTACATTCCTCTATTGAGCAATACTAATAACGTCAATGATGACTACATGCTGTACAATCGAGGTGGCAGTGGTGTTTTTGATCGCGATATTTTGCGTTATAATCATTTAAAGTAGATAAAATGTTTTTTTAGATTAATAATGATTATAATCTATATCTATTAAAGTATATGTATGTGGTAAATACTTAGCATTTAACGGTATAAATGCATATTCTTTTATGCAAGTAGAGTACATCTAGTCAATTGTTTTCAGAGGCAAACGTAAAAACATTAAAAAAATATATGTAAATATATATGTAATTTGCTATTAAATTATGTGGAAATAAAAAAAATGTGAGTGCAAGTTAATACTATTTTTCATTATATTATAAATATTACAGGCTTATTTCTGTATAATTTTGTATTTTGCTGTGGCTATTAGTGTTCTATATACGCATTTATAGAGTCTTTCATTATAAGTGTTATACCTGAGAGAATTTATCAGGAACGTAGAAAAGGAAGGAAGGGATTTGAGAGGTTGAAGCCTAAATTAATTGAAGGACTATGTGTGTACATATGTCTATTTAATTTTAATGCAACAGGACATGACTAAATGGTAAACAAAAGTTAGTCGTTCAAATATTTTATCTGAAACCCACCCCGATTTAAATTTCTAGCTACAGACTTGATGGTAAGTCCTTGCTACAAGAAGAGATCGTTTATTAGGGGGAATCTATATTAAATGAAAATATAACACGTAATCCTTTTGCTCTAAACATTCAATTTACGCGGCATTTTTAGGCAAATTTATAGAAAATCCGGCGTTGTGCAAAGATCGTAATAATTGAAAGCTCAAACATCGTTTTATTACGGTCCTTCTTACTACTAATACGGTCTTCTGTAACTGTCTCAAATATGAAATTTAAGTGGTTTATATACAGACTAAAATCACATGAAGAAGACCGTACGCTTAGCTGAATGACATATAACCGAATATAAAAAAATAATGCATATGTCATAAAAATGTTAAAATTTATTGAAAAGTTATAAAGAATTGTGAAATTTCCTGAATTAGAATTTTTCGTTCAACAAAATGCTAAAAAATGCAGCGTAAATTTATTATTTGCCAAAATTTTATCAAACGGTCTTAACCGAATATCGTATTAAAAAAAGGCATTTAAATTCATTCTCATAGTCACCGCATGGTGTGCGCGTTTGAAATGACAGAAAGTCCTGCATTATCTACGTTTAGCACATTTTAGTCATCGCTTGGTGCACTTCGTTCAGTAAAGCTAAAAACGGGTTTCTACACTTATTATAGACATAAGCCCTGACCATACCATGGACCAGAAATACTGGCAATAAGAAAATCAATTTTTCTACATTTGCACATAAGATGGCAGTCGAAACACTACAGCTCACATTTCACAAAGACTGCATAAAATGTAAAAAATTTAAATGTTTGTCTTTTAAAGTGTGATTTGGCGCTTTAATAAAATTAATTATAATTATATTATATATAAAAATATGCTATCGTTTAAACTTACATTAATTTGGCATAAACATTATTTAGTAGAAAAAAAATAAAGAGATGTGCATGCAAATCAAAACATATTATTTTTATTTATTTATTTTTAAAATAAAAATATTAATTTTTTATATTCAATATGATTTTTAAAGTCTATTTTTTAAAAATGTTTATTTTTATTTAAAAATTAAAAATTTTATTGAAATTCACTACTGTTAAAAAAAAAGTTCCTATTAATTTTTTGGTTTCTTTTATTTATATTTCTTTTATTTGTATATTTAAATTAAAATTGATATAATCGTAAAAATTATGATGATTATTATTGTTAGGGATGTGGCACTGT